GAGAGAGAGAGAGAGAGAGAGAGAGAGAGGACGGAGACAGGAGAGAGAGACTGACGCCTTCACCAGGTCTTCACGCTGCCCTCCCCCTAGCCTCAGCTAATCCTTCATGCTGCCCTCCCCCAGCCTAGGCTAACCCAGGTCGTGAGCGTGTGCGGCCTGGCATGCAGGAATCCCTGGGCCTGTGAGCTCAGGACTGCACTGCAGCTCTCTCTGTCACTGCTGTGGCACCAGCTGGTCCCAAGTGCTATTTCACTTTGATTTGATATATTTGCAAATTTAATTATTATATTTTATCTTTTTAATCCATTCATAACAAGAACTTTCTTTTTTAAAAAATAGGTTTTTGCCATAGGGTGTGTGTGTTTGCTGGAGAGAGAGAGGGAGAGAGAAAGAGAGAGAGAGAGAGAGAGAGAGAGAGAGAGGGAGAATCACCTCCCCGGGCTCCTAAGGGGGATGACCGTGCCACAGTCTCTTCTCCTTTCTCCTGGGATTTTGGGCACATGCGTATATGTGACTGGCGTGATTTTCAAGCCGCCAAGTCGGGCCCTCAAAGCGCAGTTGGCCGTGTAGAAAATGCAGCACTGTAACCCCTGTTCCCCCTGCTGGTCTCGGTAGTTTTTCTTTTTTAAGGGAGAGCGTAATATAGTAAAATGCTTGTAAAATGTTCTTAGTGGATGTTTGACCATCGGCTCCACTGCCCACGCTGCGTCTGTTTTATCAGTGAAGTCATTGAATCCTCCCACATAATCAAGGATTTATTTAGCTGCGAGGCAGAAACCTATTTACCTGTCCAGCATTTTTCGTGAACAGTGCTTTAAGGTCCAAGAAGTTAATAGCTGCATTGCAAAGTTTCCAGAATTAAATTCTTTTAAGATGGACTGCAGACGAGGCTGTCTAGAGGCAGGAACGTGGTGAGGATCACTGCTGGGTTTAGTTTGGTGTGCTAGTTCCCGTTTTATTGGTGGCAGGGTCACTTGGTGTTACTTAAGAATGTCTGAATGTGGGAGGGAAGAGTTTCTGCAGTTTGGGTTTTTCATGATTTCTAGCTGAGATGTGCAGAGACCTGGAGCCTCAATGGTCTGGTTAAGCACCTGCTGGGTAAACAGCTCCTGAAAGACAAGGCCGTCCGCTGCAGCAACTGGAGCCGGTTCCCTCTCAGCGCGGACCAGAAGCTGTACGCAGCCACCGATGCCTACGTACGTACTCGGGCTTTTCCGGCGGGTGCGTGGTCTCGGGCCTCCCTGTAAACTGCTCCCGAAGTGCTTCATTGTGCTAGTTGCTTAAACTCAGTGTTTCATTATCCAGTTGGCATTAAAGACGTGTAGGAAGACGTTTTGTGAAAGGGTCAGTCCTTTTATGAGCGAGCGAGTACCAGTCAGCAGTCTGTCATGAAGCCGGAGTCACGCCCGTGTGTGTGTAAAGACGTGAGAACTGCTGACAGCGCACAGGCAGGAGCCCGGCTGAGCCCGCCCGACCGGCACTGGCCGTGTCTGCTGGAGCCGCTGCAGGATGAGGCATCGCAGGGCATCCCATCACTCACGTTTAAAACCTGCACACTCAACTCGCTGCCGCTAGATACGCTGCTGTCATCACGTGTGTGTGCTTGTGCTTATATTCACTACTGTGCTTTTGTAAAGAGAAATATGTTACATTCCTAGTGAATTTCCTTTCCTCAAATTCATACTTTTATTTGTGAACAGATATCGTTTATTTTCATACATCTAGTTTGAGGAATGGAAACTCCTTTGCTTCATAACTACAAAAAATCATTTTTGTAATGGAAACAGGGTAATAGTTTTATTTTGATTCTCTTTAGCATGCTCTTTTAATTTTTCTGTTTTTCTGTAGGCCAGTCTCATCATTTATAGGAAATTAGAAAGCTTGGGTGATGTCTCTCAGATGTTTGCTAAACATAAAGGTATGTTATGATCCAAAAGTAAAAATAAAATAAGAATTTGCTCTAAAAGACAGTACTTGTTTTTCGCAGTGTTCATAGCAGTATATTCTTGAATGATGTCTGAGCAGCGTCGATCTAGGCTAGGGTCTTGAGGACATTACCTGTGGCACCTCAGGACTCACTGCTGTTAATTCTTAGCATCGCTACTTACTGGGCTTCTAGGGCTGGGGCTGTGTGGCCATCAATCTGCTATTCGTTTGCTAACAGAAATACCCAAGACTGGGTGGTTTGTGAAGAAATAGATATTTATTTGACTCACGGTTCTGTGGCTGGGAAGCCCAGGTGTAGGATCTGGCCAGCCCGTAGCATGGCCGAGCACTGCAGAGAGGTGGCGGGCACGGGCAGAGAGGGAGGGCTGCGGGAAGCCCCCTTCAGTATCAGCCCACTTGTGATGAGAGCGAGAACTCCCTTGTTCCCAGGAGTCAGCATTAATCCGTGACTGAGGCAGGGGCCTCTGTGACCCAGTCAGTAACCCACTCACTACCCACGAGGCCACCACCCGAGACCATCACACAGGGAGCAGTTCCTGAACGTGTCTTCAGGGGACAGAGCCAGACATGATAGTGGCCGTGAGCACATGAATGCTTTCTTTCCAGCTTTCTCCCAGAGATGATTTATTCTTGATGCAAATATTAAAAATCCCTTATATATAATTTAAAAAATGCTTTATAGTACATTGATTAAAATCCCTAAATACCTTTTACCATTTTTATCCAAAAAGGACAGACGCTGTTGAGCTCCGATGCCTTTCTCAGGTGTGTCATAGGTCTGTGGTAACAGGAGGCGCCACAGAGTGGGGCACGGTGCTGCCGTGGAGCTCAAGGTGTGGAGTGGGCGTGCTGGAATTGCCCGCCACACAACCTGGCGTGTGCCTGCCCCGTGTTTGGAGTGCTCCTAACGACGGGGGACCTCTTGGGCTGTCGGAAAAGTCTTGACACTTTTTTTCTCGTAATTCGCCATGACTTTTCTGACAGCCCAACATTTCATAAAAGCGTGGCGTGCACCAGGAGAGACGCGTGCTCAGGGCACGTGTGGAGGTGTGTATGGCGCCCAGTCCTGTGCCTGCAGCTTCATTTGGGGGTTTAGATAATTATGTCTGTTACGGTGTTAATGAAGGGAGGTGATGTTTTTCTGGTACATTTAAAAATGTGGCATGACTTCTCAGGTAGACGTACGTGTGTCCACATGTAAGACGCCCTTCGTAGTCGTCGCTGAGAAGGGCTCACACACACAGCATGTGTTTGGAAGAGAGCGGTCACGGAGTGAGTGAACTTTACACGTTAAGGTGCAATCTTCTCTATGTGCTTTTCTGTCCCTAACAAGTCACTTTGAGGCGAGCTTGCTGAGTCTGTGTAGCCAGAAGTATCGCGGCTAAGAATTACCATGATTAACTGAGGTAGACGATACTTTTTTTTTTTTTTTTTTTTT